AATAAATGTTGTGAGAGTGACATTTCCATAATCGATAAAAAAGTTTGAAAATGTGTGAAAATTTTACAATTGTTTTCTTTCGCCTATATTATGAAAGAATGTTATTACTTAGGCAACATATAGTGACCAAAAAAAAAAAAAAAAAAAAAAAAAAAAAAAAAAAAAAAAAAAAACATATAGTGACCATGAACACAATCCGGTAACCAATGAGGTAGCGTGAGGAGAATTGTTGAACAACAATGAATAACATTGAAGGAGAACAGTAGAAAGAAACTTGACAAAAAAATAAAAATGAAAAACAGTAAAAAGCAACACCTACCCATCTCCATTTTTATTTCCAAAATAGAGGGTAGAGTTAGATTTGTTCCAATCCATCTCCATTTCTAACTCCAATATGGAGATCTCCATTTTTTTCTCCATATTTAAAGATTTTTATTTTTAATTTACACTAAAATATGAAGATCTCTATTTTCAACTCCAAAATGGAGTAGGGTTGGAGCAAAACCCAACTCTAAAATGGAGAAATATATAGGTTGGAGATAGTTTTAGCAGTGCTAAACCTTGTAATTAAGGTATTAAACTATATCCTATCAAGAAGTATAGGTACGAGTAAATTTATATATAATGTACTTTTAAAATGTGGTCATTTGAGAAAATAGGACATGTAATTAGGTTGATAACTAAAAATGTTTTGTTTTATTTGCAAAAACCCCTTAATTGAGATGCTGAGTCTCTTGTTCGCAGCACTAGGGTTTGGTCTTGATAAAGTCGCACCAAATCTAACTCTGGGAGGGTCAAGTCCTCTTCGAGCTCAGAAAGCTATTCTGATCCTTTGACGGGACAAGAAGTAATATTTTCAGTTTGCTAGGCACTTGAGGTGAAATGTTTCTTTTCAATCTTATGTAGAGTATTTAGTTTAGAGTTGTACATTATTATCTGTGAGTAGGGGTGTCAAAATGGGTCAAGATTCATTAAACGACCAATCGGGATTAGCCATCTCTTTAATTAACATTTTTGAAATTCTAATATTTTCTATTATTTAGTTTTTTGTAAAATGGAAAAAATCAGCATATGGAAATTAGAGAAATATTTGAAAATATGGAAATTCTTTTAAATATTTTGTCATAAAAAACATAATATAAAATTATCAAAATTTCAAGTTTTTTTTAAGTTTATTATATTTATAAACAAAAATACCCATTTATTATTAGCCTCACTAAATTTATAATAAGTACTTCATCTTTAATAACAATAGCCGTTTATTCACGATAGCTATCTCGATGAATGATATTTTTAAGATTTATGAACTTTATATTAAAATTATTTATAGATAAGAGAAAATATGATAATATATTGAAGCAAGATGTATATAAATTTGTTATTATAATACATAAAATAATTCATATTAGTCGAACAAATTTTATTATATTGTCATATTTTATAAACGACCAAATTATAATTAGACATCCCATTAATTGACATTTTGTGACATTACTTTAATTGAGATTTTTAAATTATAATATTTTATATATTAAAATATTTATGAAAAAAGGAAAAAATATATATATATAATAGAAATGTAAACTTTTGAAAAACAACATACGGAAATATGAAAAGCAATATAAAAATGTTAATTTTAGAAAAATAATATTTGGAATACATTAAACTTATATTTTTATTTTTTTAGTCTTCTTATTTTCCAACAAAAAATATATATTCGATAAACCCTAGATTTTTTAATATAAACAATAACCGAAGGCATCCCATTCTATGATAAGTTTTTAAGTTGTAAATTTTGAGTCGTCAGTAACAGTAAGTGTTGGTTACTACTCTTAATGGCGCCTCTTTATATTTTTTATCGCTTTTGCAACTGTAGACACTTCTCTCTCCGTCGGGCTGTTTCTACTTTATATCTCCCGATGAGCCGTAAAACATGTGTGTGTTTGATGTTATAGATGATTTGATGTTGTTTGCATAAAATTTTTGGGTCTGAAGAAAAAGGATCGAGGACAAGCATCATTGGTCGATGTTTGTACTCTTTCATATCGATTATGAATCGTAAGACCTTGATTTGATGTTGTTTGAGATAAAACTTTGGGTTTAAAGAAGAATCGATGACAAGCACACATGTTTTATTAGCTACACATGTGGCCATGTTCATGTTACTTCCTCCGCAAGTAACTTGCAGTTTTGTGGTATTAATGATTTTGGTTTGAAAAGTTTCTATACGACTGGATCTTAAATCGAGTATACGTGTGAAAATATCAATAATTGAGTGTAGGAGGTGGCTAAGCTGATCTTGAATTGCACAAATCTTATGAGAAAATAGGCAATTATTATGGTCTTGGAGGTTGCAGGAGGCTTGCTGGGAAACAAGTTGTGTGGTACTTTAAAACAAGTTATTGTGAATAGTTATTCAATGGTTCTGATGAATGCATCATCAATTGCTTGTGTCCGAGAAGTGTTACATGCTAATAAATCTAGGGAAATGGTGGTAGCGGTGGGAGTTGAGGAACATACATGTAAGACCGTGCAAGGAAGCTCTCTTGGAAAAGATGTTTTGGTCAATATAGTGATAATTGTGTACGTTAAACTGTAAGTGGATGCAGATATGGCTATTGAGGTAACTTCTTGCATAGTTTTTTTTTTAAAACTTAGGTTGTATATACTTCAGTTGGATGATAAAACTAACCAGTCAAAACTCAAAAGGTATGAAGACTTGTGTTGAAATTGTGGGAAAAATTGTTATTTTGGAGTACTAATTTCAATCAAAATCGGGAATTACCGAGAAGTTAGAAAGATAATAAATTTAATTAATGAGAGTTTCCTTGCATTATGAACAATTGATGTCATAATTCAGGTAATAAAGGGCTTGATTTTTATGTAAAAATGAAGGAGAAAGAGAGAGAGGCGCGGTTGACACCATAAGACAAACTTGGATTATCAAACATGGAAAAAGAAAAGTGAGAAAACACTTATGACGTGACCTCTTTATGGCAACGTTTAGTTCATCTGTAGCTTAAACTTGACGGCGAGGTGTCTTGTATTACTGTCTTGAGTTTGAATAGTGGGATATTGATTTAAATGGTTTTTTTGTGTATATTGTATCTTAGCGTCTTCAACCTATTTGAGAAGATTTCTTTTAAAGTTTCAAATCTGAGCAGCCATGTGAAGACAACAAACGAACATCCAAACGTACCCAAAATAATCTAAAATTTGGTAGGAGTATCTTGGAGACGTAGAACTAAGTTTGGGTAGAAAGACATTGAATTTCGAGTTTAGAAGGTAAAATAAACGACGTTGTTTCGGGTAGTTAGTTCATAGGCTTATAGAGATTTGTTTGGTTAAGGTTAGTAAGTTTAAATTTTTTGCTCCGTTTTTAACCACATAATAACGAATGTTTTACATAGAAGAAAATGGAGAGGATTAGGAAAAAAGTGAGGAAGGCAACGAGGAAGAGAAAGAGGAAGAAGAAGATTCTAACGAAGAAGCGGAAACGGACGGTGAAAGTAACGATGATAAGAGCCATGAAAAGTTGACAATGAAGATGACGAGAAGGAATATGAAAAGTAAGAAACGATGTATGTGAAGAAAAATACGAAGACATAGGTGTTGGCAGCCAATTGACTATTAGAATGTAAGATTGATTCATGATTCTTTTGATCAGATTTGATTCTTAAACACTATTGGCTTTTATAAATTTTAAGATGGTGTATTTGGAACAAAAAATTTTCTTTAATAGTAATTTAAAACTATCATCGTATATAATTTTTACCGAAATATATCAAATAAATCCATGCGTAGCGTGGATTCAAAACCTAGTTAATAAGTAAAAAAGACATATATCCGCACACAAAAAGTGTGGCAGGAATCTATATGATCATATTCAAATGTGAACATGACTTTTTATATCCATATAATAGTCAAGGCAACAACAAAAAGCAAATCATTGAATATCAAAAAAAAGAAAAAAAATTAAAAGCAAATCATATCATATGTGACTAGCTTGGAGTATTCGTGTTACGGTGTTAGGTTACAAACTTTTTTGTATAATTCCAACCAAGCATGTACACTAACTTCTACGTTCTTGAGTTTTCGTTAGGGCTGACTGGTTTAAACGCAGCGGTTGCGGTTGCAGAAGTTTGCGGAAGTGGGCGGTTACGGTTTTAAGCGTTACCAAGCGTTTTGAACGACTGGTTTAGCGTTTGAAAATGGATGCGTTTGCGGGAGTTTTATGACTGGTAAACCAGCGAATACGGTAGCAGTTAAATAAAAAAATGACCCAAAAAATAAAAAATATTACAAAAAAAAAGAAATAAAAACACCAATATGTTATTATGATAATATTAGAAAAATTAAACATGCTTAATAATTAAAACCATAAATAAAGAACTAAATAATTATTCAAAAATAAATAAATTTTGTAATAAGATAGTACTTAGTACTTTATATAGAATTAATATATTTTATAATAATTATAAGTAAACGTTTGATTTTTTTTTTTTAAATCCAACCGATACCGCCCGCAACCGCAAACGCTTGCGGGAAGAAGCTTCTGAAATTCAGCGATTTCGAGCGGTTTATATGATTGGTACTAATCGCTAACAACCGCAATCGACCGCTAGCAACTGCTAGGAGTACCAATCAAGCCCTTAGTAGTAGGTCTGGGCGTTTGGTTCTTTGGTTCCATTCGGTTCGGTTCTTTCTAAGGGAATCGAACAAATTTCGGCTCCGTTCGATTCGGTTACTTGTCGGTTTGGTTCGGTTCAGATAATTAGAAAAAGAACCGTTCTAATGGATATCCGATATTTATTAGAAGCTTTCATGTTAAGGTTTCCCATTTTTTTGTTTTGGATTTTCAAGTTCTGACCTACTTAAAACAGATATAGATCGGTTTGATTTGATTTCAAAAACTCCAAGCAAAAGTAAATAAAACAAGATTAGAGTTTACAAATATACTCTAAATTAGAAGAGAAACAGAAACGTAAAAGAAAGCTCTAAAGAAAAAAGCATTAGAGACTAGGTAAGTAAATTGTTGGAGAAACATTCATTGGTTATTGACTCACTAAATAAAAGTAAAAGAAGAAACAGCAATGCATAAAATAAAATAAAAGAGTCCTACTTAAAAAACTTAAAACTACTACTTGTTGCTGCATAATAAACTTACATGAACCCCAACCAATGATTCAAATCTCACAACACCAAATTTTTATAAAAACATAAAAGCTCTCTGGTCTCATTGTGTTGTTGTCAGATCCGACAACTACCTCTTTGGAGGTCTGTCATCATCTTCATCACCACTATTCTCTTCATCTTCTTCAGGAGCTCTCTTCCGCTTCGGTGGAGCCTCTGATTTCCCAGCACCACCCGAGTTATCGTTCTCATCGTCTTCTCCTTCATCAATATCCTCTTCCACACCATTCTCTTCCGGCTCAAAATCACTTGCATCCTCCTCATCCTCAGCTCTACCAACTGGCCTCACTAAGTACTCTGTCCCAAGATCCCCCTACACAATCCCAAACAACAAAACCAAACATAACCATCTCAGTTTCAAAGTTTCAGTAATCAAAACAACAGAGTCAAAGAAAACTATGACAACACTTTTCAGATAAGGACCACAAAGGTATAAACTTTGAAAGTAGAACATGGGAACACACACAATCTAAACACTCTCTAATCTAATTTGGTTCACTCAAAGAAACAAAACAGAGACTTAACCAAAACCCACTTGTTTATTTAGGGGAAGAAAGTATAAACCCTAAATTTGAGACAAAACAGAACAATTTCTAGTTACAGTAAGAATAAATTTCCAGAAAAGTTCATAGATTCTGTTCAGGTTAAACAGATCCAGTCATTCTTTAGCAAAGATTCAGACTTATACTAACATTACCAGTGGAATTTAAACCTAATTGAGACACATGAAACCCTAGATCTACAAACTCAGAGACTAAACCCTAATTTAAGTGAACAATTCAACCAAAAATTGAAACAAAAATTGATAAATTCAGAATTTTTCTTTTACCTCATCTTCAGCATCCTCATCATCATCATCATCGTCGTCATCATCATCATCTCCATCATCATCATCGTCATCACCGTTTCCATCTTCATCACCTTCTTCATCTTCATCTTCCGCTGATTGTACAGGAGGACCACCTAAAGACTGCAAAACCTGAACATCATCATCATCATCGTCTTCTTCTTCTTCCTCATCATCATCATCATCTCCTTCACTTCCATCATCATCATCTTCGTCGCTACCTTCTTCACCTACGTCTTTAACTTGTTCTTCATCACTATCGTCGTCGCTTAAAACTTGAATCTCAGGTTCTTCTTTGAAGTTCTTATCATCATCATCAACGCCAGTCATGGTTCTCGAAAAGCAAAAGTGTAAAGATTTTCCCGAGAAAGTTTTCGATTTTCCTGGAGAATTTTTAGAGAAGAGAGAAGGGTTAGAGAAGTTCGACTATTGAGCTGAAGCAGTACCGTCTTTGAGATTAGATCTGAACCGTTGAATCTTAAATTGACGAGGATAGGTGACGTGGCGTTAGATCGGACGGTTTAGATGATAGAACAATGTGGTTTTGATGAATAAGGGTTAAAAGATGCCGCAAGCTCCACAGCGGCGGGCCAAACCTGAATAATAATAATTAAATATTAAAATATTATTTGTCCATTTTTTGTTTTTTATGTGAATCACACGTGCGGCTTGTGCGAATAATTAAAACCGTTCCAGTTTTTGTTTTTTTTTTTAATTCGATTTTCTTATCGAATATTCTAGTTTCTAAATATGAGACCCAATATGCTTTTATTAAGGCCCAATAGATCGTAAATTCGTTATATAGTTCAATATCGACCCAATAAGCTATTGTTAGGCTTTTTGTGTATTAAATGAGTTGCCAGAAAAAAGGAATAACTGTTAAATAACACGACAACACAACTATATATATATATATATATATATATTAATATGTGAGGTAATGTTATATATTGTGTTAGAGAGAGAGATTTTTGGTGACTAGAGAGAGAGTAACAAGAGTATATATGAAGCTTTTTATTCCACGTTCTCTACAACTTTGATTACACATATTTATAGTAAAGTTTACAAGATTAGAGGTTGACACATGAATAATGATGAGGTTATAACCTCTTAATATAGAGAAGACATGTGTATGGTGATGGGGATTTGTCTTACAAAGACAAGTGTGATGATGATTAATCATACTTCACAATACTCCCCCTTGATTAGTCATCATTATTGTCGTATTACGTATTGCCTCATTAAAAACCTTATCATGGAAAAACCCTGTGGGATAAAAACTATGATAAGGGAAAAAGAGTACAATAACGTAATCTCACCTAGAAAATAGATGTCATCTTTTCTTCATAATTCTCGTAGACTACGCATCCCAATGTTATGAATATGCTTTCTGAAGGTTGAAGTGGGAAGCGCTTTTGTAAACAGGTCTGCTGCGTTGTCACTTGAGCGGATATATTGGATATCAACTTCTTTGTTTTTCTCGAGTTCTTGAGTGTAGGAGAAATACCTTGGAGGGATATGCTTCGTTATGTCGCTTTTGATATAACCTTCTTTAATTTGGGCGACGCATGCAGCATTGTCTTCGAATAATGTTGTCGGCTCTTTACTAGAGGCTATTCCACTTGCTTCTTGTATGTGGTTGGTCATAGATCTAAGCCACATACATTCTCTGCAGGCTTCATGAAGCGCAATCATTTCTGCATGGTTTGAAGAGGTGGCGACCAAAGTCTATTTCTGAGAACGCCACGAGATTGCAGTTCCTCCGATTGTGAAAACGTATCCAGTTTGGGACCGAGATTTATGCGGATCCAATAAATATCCTGCATCTGCAAAACCAACTAGACCAAACGCAGAGTTTCTAGGATAGAATAATCATAGGTCAATCGTACCTTGAAGATAGCGAAAGATGTGTTTTATCCCATTCCAATGTCTGTGGGTAGGAGATGAGTTGTATCTCGCAAGTAGATTAATGGCAAATGCAATATCTGGTCGAGTGCAATTTGCAAGATACATAAGTCCACCGATAGCACTCATGTAAGGTACTTCGGGACCAAGTATTTCTTCGTTATCTTCACAAGGTCTGAATGGATCATTATCAACATTCAGAGATCTATTGACCATTGGAGTACTCAAAGGATGCGCTTTGCTTAATGATCCTTTTGGTATAGTTTGATTGATGTACAAATATTCCGTCTTGGAAATGCTCTATTTGGAGTCCGAGACAAAATTTTGTCTTTCCAAGATCTTTCATTTCGAACTCTTCTTTCATATGAGTTCTTGCAACATCAATCTCCTTTTGAGTTCCAATTATGTTTAGGTCATCAACATATACAGCAATGATCACAAATCCCGATGGAGATTTCTTAATAAAGACGCAAGGGCATATTTCATTATTAACATACCCTTTCTTTAATAAATAATCGCTTAAACGGTTATACCACATGCGTCCGGATTGTTTTAATCCGTAAAGTGATCGCTGTAATTTGACCGCACATATTTCATTAGACTTTGAGTCTAATGCCTCAGGAACTTTAAATCCTTCTGGGATTTTCATATAAATATCATTTTCCAATGATCCGTATAAATATGTTGTCACTACATCCATAAGGTACATTTCTAAATTCTTAGAGGCCGCTAGGCTCATTAAGTACCTGAATGTAATTGCATCCATGACCGGAGAATATGTTTCTTCATAATCAATTCCAGGTCTTTGAGAAAAATCTTGTGCAACAAGTCGGGCTTTATATCGTGTGATTTCATCTTTCTCATTTCTTTTTCGCACAAATACCCACTTGCACCCAACAGGTTTTACATCTTTAGATGTAGTGACGAGAGGTCCAAAGACATCTCTTTTATTGAGGAAGAGCAACTCATTTTGCATTGCAGTTTTCCATTTCTTCCAATCAGGCCTTTGTTGGCATTCTGATACGGACCTTGGATCAGGATCGTCATATCCATGATCGATCTCTTTAGATACAGAAAAAGAGAATATTCCATCATCATCATCGATTTCATCTCTAACCCATAATTTTCCATCTTGGGCATAGTTAATGGAAATCTCATATTTTTCTATATCGTCCTGAGGATTTTTCTCTTTATTAGGTTCTTCTTGAACCTTTTCATTTTTATCTCCCATTTTCTTTTTCTTTCGGGGATTTTTATTTTTAGAGCCCATTGGCCCTCCCGCGTTTCAGTTGAACCTTAGGTTCATTAGTTTTGTTCCCATCGAATTCCACTTTAGGAATTTCAACTCTTGATGGGACATTTGCAGCGGGAATGTATGACTTTGTCACCCTTTTTGTATCTGTAAACGCAACTGGTAATTGATTTGCCAAATTTTGTAAATGTACAATTTTCTGAACTTTCAGCTCACGTTGATTTGTAGGGGGATCAAGATATACCAAAGATGGTGTAGACCATGTAATATCTTTTGGAACTTGTTTAATTCCTCCCCCTAACGCTGGAAATTCATCTTCATTGAAATGGCAATCGGCAAAACGTGCCGTAAACATATCACCAGTTTGCGGTTCAAGATACCGAATTATACTCGGTGATGCATAACCGATGTATATTCCCAATCTCCGTTGTGGCCCCATTTTTGTTCTTTGTGGTGGGGCTATAGGAACATAAACCGCACACCCAAAAACACGGAGATGGGCCACGTTTGGCTCTTGACCAGACGTTAATTGTAAAGGGGAATATTTATTATATGCGTTTGGTCGTATCTGGACTAACGCCGCAGCATGCAATATAGCATGACCCCATATAGAAATTGGGAGCTTTGTTCTCAATATTAACGGTCTAGCAATGAGTTGTAACCGTTTAATTAAAGATTCAGCCATGCCATTTTGAGTATGAACATGAGGGACTGGATGCTCAACATCGATTCCCATTGACATACAATAGTCATTAAAGGCTTGTGAAGTGAATTCACCAGCGTTATCAAGCCTGACTTTCTTTATGGCGTAATCAAGAAATTGTGCTTTCAACCTGATTATTTGGGAAATGAATTTCGCGAAAGCCGTATTTCGTGTTGTCAGTAGACACACATGTGACCATCTACTGGATGCGTCAATCATTACCATAAAGTAACGAAACGGCCCACACGAAGGGTGGATAGGTCCACATATATCGCCATGTATTCTCTCTAAGAATAATGGAGATTCATTCCCAATTTTGCTTGGCGATGGCCGAATTATGAGTTTTCCTTGAGAACATGCATCGCATGAAAACTCATTAGATTGAAAAATCTTTTGGTTTTTCAATGGATGACCACTAGAATTTTGTACAATTTTTCGCATCATGACTGAACCAGGATGTCCAAGTCTTTCATGCCAAATCTTAAATGTACTAGTAAACTTTGAGTTTCCAGTAACATATGATGCGAACATATTTATTTTTGTGCAATATAATCTAGAGGATAACATTGGCAATTCTTCTAGTATATGTTTCCCATCGGATGTAATACAAAGATATTCAACGCTGTTCTTATTCATAGTCTCTATATGATATCCATTTCTTCGGATATCTTTGAAACTTATTAAGTTTCTATGAGACATAGGGGAATATAATGCATCAATTTCAAATTTCGTTCCCCTTGGCATTAAAAAAATGGCTTTTCCAGAGCCCATAATTATCTTTGCATTACCAGATATGGTATTCACGCTTCCAACGGAGTTCTTTATTTTGAGAGAGGAGAAATATTTTTTATCTTTACGTATCGTGTGCGTCGTAGCACTGTCTGCCAGACATATATCTCCATCCTCAATCTCAAAATTTGACATTTTCTGAGATAAAGCATTTATAAAATATGCATTAATAAAATAACATAAAGACTTACAAAAAAAACTTTATTGTATATTACAAAGAAACCATTATTCAAAAAGACTTTTAAAACAAACAAAAAGTGCATTAAAACCGTAAAATACATAAAATACTAGTACAACCATATCATGTCATAACGATCTTATTAGCCTGATTTCCCGTTTTCATGATCAACGAGAAAATCTGCGATATCAAGATGAGTTTCATCATTAAGGCCATGGAACGAAGGTCCTGCTTCATCAGAGATGAGATTGGTCTCAACATCTCTTTCTTTTGCTTTTTGAGATGCTTGATACAGATCGGCCAAATGTTTTGGTATACGACAGGTCTGGTACCAATGTCCTTTCATGCCACATCTGTAACAAGTACTTTCATCTTGTTTCTTCAAAGTGCGACCAGCGTCACTTACTTGAAGATTTTTGTTTGTTTTCTTGGCGTTGGAATTATTGGGAGGGAGACCCCTTCCTTTTCCTCGTCCACGACCTCCTCCACGACCGCGACCACGGCCACGACCGCGTCCGCGTCCTCGACAATTATTATAACTGGATGAAGCAACATTCACTTCTGAAAGTGGAGCTGATCTAGTTGGACGAGTTTGATGATTCATCATCATA